GCTGCTTCCTGTCCGACAGGAAGTCTGTGATCCACCTGCAGGTGGAGTCAGGCACATTCAGCTGGGAGAGCTTCTCCTGGAGCAGAGCTGGGATGGTTGTGTTGAAGGCCGAGCTGAAGTCCACAAACAGGATCCTGGCGTAGGTTCCTGCAGAGTCCAGGTGCTGGGCTCCGCAGGACACACACACAGGACAAGATTCACTCATGCACAGGACAACATTCACACATCCCCAGGATAAGATCCACACATGCACAGGGCAAGATTCACTCATGCACAGGACAAGATCCAAACATGAACAGGATAATAGATCTTTGAAGCTTAGGAGGTTGCACAATTGGCCTATTAGTGTTCACTGAGAACAGTTTTGTTAATTTGATATTTTTATAACAAGTCAGTAATTAAAAAGAAGATTGGATTTTCATTTAAAATGCAAAATGGTTCGTCATTCTTTCCCTTTAAAAAAAAAAATCACTGTCAAAGATGAAAAACAACTTTTTTTCATATTTCAACTGATTCTACGAACATCTTATTCTCTGTCTGTGGTGGGCGCTGGTTCCTCACAAACCCTCAAGGGGTTTTACAACACAAAAATAAAAATATAGACACAGTATATAGACACGAGAAAAAAAAGAAATCTGGACGCGGTCTTGACAAATCTAGACAAAAAATATACAGTTGATGCTTTGTATTGCATAGTGTGCAATCACACCCCTCTACCATATATGGGCAGTGAATTCTTGGGGCATAATTTTGAACATGGAAATAAAAGTAGATGTTAATGTCTGCCTTTCTGTTTGATGAACACCAAAACCCTGCCACTATTTAGTTATTTATTTAGTTTTAAGCCCAAACCCAATAGTTTCTTATTTTGTTTTTTTTTTTTTATTTTATGTCATATTCCTATTAGTTTACTTAAGTCTGTTGTTGTTTTTTTTTCTTTCTCGACCTTTATCCTCCTGTTGTGTTTTTTTTTTTTTTTTCTTCAGTTCAATTTTTCTCTTTATACTCCTCATGGTGTTTTGTTGTGCGTAATCTTTGCTGTGCGTAAATCACTGGTCATGATGCAGTTTTCAGTTTCTCTGCTTGCCTTTTCTCCTCCCTGTGGAGGAGCTGCGTGGTGCGTAAATCCTTTCCCCTCCTTTGGCACAGCCCGTCCAGCCCTGCCAGAGGAGAGCAGTCGCGCTCCCGGTGGAAGATGGCGGTGGGGATGCTGTCTGCGGCCGGAGCAGAGGGCTCGATCCGCACAACAAGAGAACTCTGCCGGAATTAAAAGAAGAAAATGATCCTGTCCGGATTTATCTGCCTGAAAATTTGGACTTATTTTGGGAGCTTTTCTTTTTGACGATCGGGGTTTGCAGAAGCGTGGCACGAAGAAAAAAAAAAATCCGGGGCCGTTTTTCAGGGGATTTACTAACTATACATTTAGAGCTCGGCGCACAGACACAACATAAAGGGTTGGAATAAAACAACAACAAAAAAGTGATAAAAATGTCGGATACAAAGGTAAAAGTTGCTGTGAGAGTTCGGCCCATGAACCGCAGGGGTAAGTGTTGAAAACGACGGTTTCCGCTCCCAAACCTCCCTCTATTTCTCCCCTCATCGTAAACTTTAGCTGTCTTCACCATTTTCCTAAAATCATGCTCCAGTTTACTTTCAACAAGGCGAAAGTAGCTCTGATTCTCTTCCCTCCACACCCCCGCATCCTCCCTTCTTTTTTCCACCCCAAAAAAACTCCTGTCTTTCTGCAGAGATTGAGCTGAATACAAAATGTGTGGTGGACATGGAGGACAACCAAACAATCCTGCACCCTCCACCCTCTAATGCAAAAGGAGAGAACAGGTAAACACAGCTGAAATTTAACAAATAAAAACAAAAAAAAGGAACAAACATCTGATGGATTATTTGAGTTTGCAGTTGAGGATGAAATGACAGAAAGAAAGTAAAGACATTGCAATATAAACTGCAGTTTTCTTCCCTTTTTGTGTTTGGATAAAACAATAATGATTGCATTTTGTTTGGAAACTTTTTAGTTTGCTTTATGATGTATTAATGCAAGTAAACAAATGCAGTGGTTTTACAGGAACACTGCCCTCCTCCTCCTGCTGCTGCTGCTGCTGCAGAGGACAGTGTCTGTCACCCACCTGACTGCAACATGATACTCCTTATGCCATTCACTTGAACTTTCCAATACTAATCATTTCACAGGAACACCTCCACATGCATGTCTTCTGGAAAGGTTTTTTTGGTCTGTTTAGATTAGTTTTCCTCCAGTTTGTCATTACACTTTTATCGGTTTTCATGTTTTACTCAAACTCCATGAACTTCTGCTTTATCAGAAAGTCAGGAGGACAGGATCGGGAAGGGCAGAGGAGGTTGTCTGCTGTGTAGGGTTTCACAGCTCATCCGTGTATTTATTACACGGGGAAAAATCAGGGACAGGATCATGTACAGGGACAGATGTGGAACAGGGGAGCAGTTTCAATTTGAAAAACTTAAAGTAAGCAGATCTGAGTGTGAGACTGAATAGAGCAGAGGTGAGGTTCTCTGCTGTGACTCGTAATTAATTGCCAAAAACGATGAAGAACTGCAGTTTTTTTATGTCAGTATTTAATCAGTTGGTTTTAGCTGTTATTTATGTTTTCATGCAATGTCTGCTTAGATCTCTTAATGATTAATCTTAAGCTACAAGGAATCTACCAGCTGTTTTTTCTTAATTTCCCATAAATGTGAACCCTACTATTTAAAAAGATACTGTATATGTCTCTCTGTTGTCTTTAGTAGGCTTTTTTAACGTGCAAAAAAAATTGTCTTTATTGTAAGGAGTACGTTGTTGTTGTGGCTCTGCCAAATAGGTCTTAGCATGAGTGAGAGCAAAACATGTCTGTGGATTGTAAAGGCTGGGGACCCTTGGTACTGATTAAAACTAAAGAAAGTTGTTTTTTTTAAGTATTGGGCACAATTAAAATCACAATAATGAAATGACTCATGGCTGACTAAGAAAGGGGTGTCCTGATACAACTTCTTCATTTCTGATATTATACCGATATTGCTGCTTTGTGTATTAACCGCTGCTAATATTGACCCGATACGATATTGGCATGAATCACACAGGCATTTATTACTTATTTTATAGTGTGAAATTATAGAAAAGGCTTTATCAAGTGATATTTCTCAAACAGAGAACGATAATTAACATCAGTTATAAGAAAAATTGACCTATTTCATGTTTACCAAAGAGTTACATAAACTTTAAACAAAAGTGGATTGAAGCAAAGTTTTTCTAATACCGGTATCAAAGATATTAGAGGCAGGCCTATATATTCTGATATTCATGTTTTTGCTTGTATCAGAGAGATTTCTGATATCCGTACTGAATTGGGACTCTCCTATTTAACGCTAGAGATGCACCAATCCGATACCTGGATCTGATATTGACTAATAAGCCGGAATAGATATCGGTGGTTTGGTATCAGACATTGAGGATCCAATCCAGTGGACTTAACATGAAACTTTTTGCTGCTTATTTGTTAATAAATAGCACAAAGCACATTTATATCTGTGTGGATTTGCTACCTCTTTAAGTAATGTTTATGTCAAGGCTAAATCCTTCACTCACTAGATAATTGGTTTTTTCATTCAACAGTTAAATTAGATCAATAGCGGTTATGTCCAGGTATCAGTATTATGCCGTTTTTTTGCTTTGTCCTAGACCACATATGTTAGACTCTATAGATAATTAACAAAATTAGGTAATTCCATCATGGCAATTAGGTTGTTTGGGAAAAAAAATCAACTGGAGCCTTTGTTTTAGTGAAACAAATTAGTTTCACTGAAATAAAGTTTCCAAAATTTTATATTTTTTTCTATTCAAACATCATTAGATATAAAACAGACCTGTAAAACATGTTGCTAAGAAAGTTAAATAATAAATGCTAAATTCACAACAGTTCTTTATATTGATACTGGGCAGAGTGATATTATGGTGAGGATTGATTATTGATATATATGCTGTCATTCTGATTGCTAACAGTGGAGCATGAAGGTGGCAGCATCATTCTGTGGTTTATTTGCAGCAGGGATCCGGAAGCCTGTCAGAATACAAAACAATAAAGATCTTTTATGTAATACAAGCCTTTAACATAATTCCCAATAACAGATTATCGAGAGCGTGTAGCCAGAAAAGCTCGGGCCAAGTTCAGTATCTTTTCAGCACAAAAATAAACATAACGTTTTGGTTTGTTCCTAGAAACATTCAAGCTGCCAAAACAGCCTTTTTATGTAATGATTGATGAGAACATTACAGTTAGTTTTACACGTTCAGAAACAAAAGACTGATACCTGAGGCAATAAAAATACCTGGTTAGCTGATGTTAAATACAGTTTAAAGAAGAAGTTGCTTCTGTGACATGAGAAGTTGGACTCGTTTCAGCTGTTTAATGCACAGCCTCGGGTTGTTGCTCTAAATCTCTCAATCCAGAGTTAATTTATGGTTTGCTGCTTTCAAAGCTCCGTTAAGATTGCAGTGTTTCTATTAAACCTCCATGCTTCACTTTTCATTTAAATGTGCCTAGATGTGACCAAAGGCCTCAGATGTAGAACTTATAAAATGGACCCTACAGCAAAGAGTAATGCAGTCTGGTGTATGCTACCTTCTGATCTGACATGCTTTCTCTGTATAATGAGAAGATCAGAATGTGAATGCAGCTCATGTTTCATGCCTGCTAGCGTTTGTCAGAAATGTCATATTTGTCCCACAATGCTCCAGAGTTTTTGCGCTTGTTAGCTCTCCTCTGCTCTTGGTGTCATGCATGATTAGACACCCGACCTGATTACCCACAGGCGCGCAAAACGTCTAACGCTGTAGTCCGTATCTGTTTGTTTCCTGTTTTATTTACCATTTTAAATGGTTGCCCAGCTTTTTAGAGGTGCTCAAAGGGTCTCAGCGTGACTGCAAAGAACAATAAGTGCATCATAGGAGGCATGTTTTTTTTTTTTTTTTTACTTATGAGGTATGTGAAATCATTTACATTTGTTACACTTTCCCAGCAACTCAGCATTAAATAATGGGCTCACTATGCCAGCAGCTCTGGGCTAATCTGTATTTAAAGCAATTATCAGAGCAGAGTCTTCAACACAATGGCTGCATTCCAGGCTATTAAAAAAGCAAACTCGCAGTTGCTTGCAAAAGTATTTAAACATCAGTAGCTTTTATGCATTTTGTCATGTTATAATCACACATTACAATGTGTTTTATTAGGATGTTTTCTGGTAAAGTTGAGGGGAAATTTAAAACAGATTTAGGAAACAATTGATCAGTCAATGAAGATATAACTGAGCAGCACCCAATGACAGTATGACACAGCTGCAAACCTTGCAAGACACACTCTTAATCTACTAGATCACTACTAAATGTTATTTGTTTTTTTCTCCCTGCTAAACAGGCAGGGAAGAAAAGGAGAGCATTAATATAGCAAATGGTAATGAGGGCCATGTTCACTCTGGAGGAGCTGCAAAGATCTGTAGTTCAGGTGGGAGAATCTGTCAATAGGAAGATACTATTAATGGACTCCATCAGTCGGCTATATGTGGAAGAATTGCAAAATGTTCCCTGTGTGGCAAAAAAATAAAAATACAAATCACCCCTACCACACCATCTACACTGTGAAACATAGTGATGGTGGTGTAATGCTGCGGCTTGTTAATGTGAATGGGAGGATGGATGGAGGTAAATATAGGAGAGTCCTTGAAAATACAGATAAAAAATAAAAATATTTGAGAAGACTTGTGACCGGCACAGAGGTCCCTTTTCCAGAATATAATTATTTGCAATCTGAGTAATGTTGTCTGGTTCAGGATGCAGAACTGCGAACCTTCAGAAATCGTTGAGGAGCTGTTAGTACCTGATCCTAGTTTTCTTTGTTGCCTGTTTCCATGTTGACAAGTGAAACACAAACAGAATTTGCTTTATCATCTGGTGGAAACTTTCATATCTGATTTAGATTTAGTATCACATCCACAGGTATTCATGGATTTGAACAGTGATTGAAAATGTTCTCCAGTTTCTTTCAATTTAACCCCCGCCTACTTTCATCTTTGTTTTTTTTTGTTTTTTTTTGTTTTTTTTTTCTACAGTCTAGTCTGTAAACATATAGCTTGGATGATTTTTTTTATCCATAATTATGTCAAATTTCTGCTCTAAGATGCCATCTAGGCTTGTTATTTCAGATTCCAGTATTGCTGCTGCTCAGTGTATGTGTGTTTGAGCAGGAGTGTGTGTGTTCTGGCTTCTTTGGTTTTGTAAAACCATGTAATTTTCCTGTTTTCCTGCATGTGGAGCCCACATAAGATGGGCGGGGGTAGCCCTGATCTCTGGGGTTTTGCCAGATTTTGAAGACACCTGTCCCTGCGTGTTGGAAATGTGTCAGATTCAGAGGGTGTTAGCCTGCTGGATGTGGCTGCAGGGGCCAGGACCATGGGAAAATCTCTCTCTCGTGGGAATGCTCAGGCGGCGCATCAGAAAGGAAACAGCCATAATAGATATTTTTCTGAGAACACCACTTAAGGTTTAAATCTTTGGCTGTTTACTTATAAATACAGGAATTCTTAATGCAAGAAGAGAAAATCATGTCAAATTGTTCTTGCACAAATGTTCCATACAGAGGTTCCTAATTCAGCATTCTTCTTTGCATAGTTTATTAGGTTGATCAGACCACACAGCATGCCTTGAACTCAAGGAATTAGGGTATTAAAAGTGATTTCCTTTGATGGTTAAGCCACAATATACAGTATACCCTGCAAACCCATTGGCCTGTCTCCTGATCTCTCCACTGTCCTCTCCA